CTGCTTTGTCTCTAGCGAGTCTAGGCTGGGCAAAGTCTCAGCTCTGCTTCCCTCGGTGTGGGCTTCGTTCTCCGGCACACTCGCCTCTGGGCGCTTATTGACGTAAGCCAATACGTCATGTTCACATATCAGTTCTTTGGGGGAGGTATCAGTAGCTGCCAAGAATTGGAGGTAAGGCTTTCCCCTCACACAACCTCACTACTCAGTAATTTGTTACAACAAAACCTCTCAAAAGGAATTCTGACAAATATTTTTTTTAAAAAGGCCGTGCTCTAATAACTGGTAAATAAAAGGAAAAAATCAAGGAAACATCCTCTCTTCTATTTTTTTAAATTTTTTCAAAGATTTTATTTATTTATTTGAGAGAGAGCCAGAGGGCACACTGGAGAACACAAGCTGGGCGGGGCAGCGGGAGAGGGAGAAGCAGAGGGAGAGGGAGAAGCAGAGAGAGAGGGAGAAGAAGAGGGAGAGGGAGAAGCAGAGGTAGAGGGAGGGAGAAGCAGAGGGAGAGGGAGAAGCAGAGAGAGGGGGAGAAGAAGAGGGAGAGGGAGAAGCAGAGGTAGAGGGAGGGAGAAGCAGAGGGAGAGGGAGAAGCAGAGAGAGAGGGAGAAGAAGAGGGAGAGGGAGAAGAAGAGGGAGAGGGAGAAGCACAGGGAGAGGGAGAAGCAGAGGGAGAGGGAGAAACAGAGAGAGAGGGAGAAACAGAGAGAGGGAGAAGCAGAGGGAGAGGGAGAAAGAGAGAGGGAAAAGCAGAGGGAGAGGGAGAAGCAGAGGGAGAGGGAGAAGAAGAGGGAGAGGGAGAAGCAGAGGGAGAGGGAGAAGCAGAGGGAGAGGGAGAAGAAGAGGGAGAGGGAGAAGCACAGGGAGAGGGAGAAGCAGAGGGAGAGGGAGAAGCAGAGAGAGAGGGAGAAGCAGAGAGAGAGGGAGAAGCACAGGGAGAGGGAGAAGCAGAGGGAGAGGGAGAAGCAGAGAGAGAGGGAGAAGAAGAGGGAGAGGGAGGGAGAAGCAGAGAGAGAGGGAGAAGCAGGCTCCCGGCTGATCAGGGAGCCTGACTGAACTAGGGGCTCGATCCCAGGACCCCGGGACCATGACCTGAGCCAAAGGCAGTCTGTTAAGACTGAGCCACCCGGGCAGCCCCTATCTCTCTTTTATGAACTGTCCCTCAGCAGATAAGGGAAAGTGTCCCTTTATTTCATATTCCAGCTACCACAGGAAAATGAAATGACAGAAGTAGAATGTCACCATTTCGCAATCCCCATCTGGCATCCGCACCCGTAGGCAGCAAGCACCTGCTGCTTGGCATCACGAATGCAGAGACAACCAGACGGAAAAGCCAAACACCTCCCAGGCTGTCATTTGCCGAAAAACGGAGCCTGCAACCGATAAGCATCTAGATTTCATGCCCAGTTACAGGGATTACAGGAGAGAGAGGCACATGGGAAATGCCACTAGGGGGCACATCAGCCACACCCAGACCTTGGCAAAGTCTCCGGGACAATCGAGGTATTCAGCCAAAAACTGTAAGAAAAAAAAGAGAGAGCTGAAAGAAGGAACTCGTAGATTAAAGGAGATTTAAGAGACATGTCAGTCAATTGCAGTAAATCCATCTTATTTGGGTCCTGACTCAAAGACATTACTAACAATTTTATGACATTCATGAGAGAGAAATGTGCATACCAACTAGATATTTGGTGATATTAAGGAATTATTGTTAATTTTCTTGGTGTGACAATGGTATTTGGGTTATGGTGTTCTTTAAGAGTTCAAGAACCTGGGGCACCTGAGTGGCTCAGCCGTTAAGCATCTGCCTTCGGCTCAGGTCATGGTCCCAGGGTCCTGGGATCGAGCCCCACATCGGGCTCCCTGCTCCGCGGGAAGCCTGCTTCTCCCTCTCCCCCTCCCCCTGCTTGTGTTCCCTCTCTCGCTGTGTCTCTCTCTGTCAAATAAATAAATAAAATCTTAAAAAAAAAAAAGAGTTCAAGAATCTTTTAGAGCGATGTATTGAAACATTTACTGAGGGAGGGGCACCTGGGTGGCTCAGTCGGTCCAGCGTCTACCTCCTGGCCCAGGTGGTGATCTCAGGGTCCTGGGTTGGGCAACCTGCTCAGTAGGGAGTCTGCTTCTCCCTCTCCCTCTCAAAAAGAAATATTTACTGAGGGAATGAAATGAAGTCTGGGATTTGCTTCAAATTTATACAAGAGGGGCGGGGAGGGGTGGGGTATAAGTGAAGCTGGAGTTCCATGAGTTAATAATTATTGAAGCTGGGTGATAGGGATGTGGGGTTCATCATACCATTCTGTCTGCTTTTGTTGATGTTTTCAATTTTCCGTAACAAAAAGTACTTTTTTAGTGAATAGTATAACGTGGGTATCCTTCCGAGGCTTGCTTTTTCTTTTTCTTTTTTTCAGATTTTTTTTTTTTTTTTTTCATGAGAGACAGAGCAAGAGAGAAAGGCAGAGGGAGAAGCAGGCTCCCAAGGAGCAGGGAGCCCGATGCGGGACTCAATCCCAGGACCCTGAGATCATGATCTGAGCCGAAGGTAGACGCTTAACCATCTGAGCCACCAGGCGCCCTTCTTTTTCTTTTTTTAAGATTTTATTTATTTATTTGCCCAGGAGAGAGAAAGCGCAAGCAGGGGAAACAGCAGGCTCCCCACCAAGCAGACAGCCGGACATGGGACTCGATCCCAGGACCCCGGGATCATGACCTGAGCTGAAGGCAGATGCTTTACCAACTGAGCCACCCAGGCATCCCCTGAGGCTTGCTTTTTCATTCAATGGTACATTTCCAAGATTCACCCACGTTGTAACTGTAGTTCATCCAATACTCACTTCTGTGTAATCTTCCCTTGTATGAATATAACATGACTTTCTCATTTTGTTGACAATGGATATTTTGAGTTGTTTTTGTTTTGTTTTTTTTGCTATTACAAACCATGGTGCTGTGACCATTTTTGTACAGGTCTCCTGGGACAAGTGTACATGCATTTATTTTTTTTAAGATTTATTTATTTATTTGAGAGAGAGAGAGAGAGAGAGCAAGTGACGGGAGGGACAAAGAGAGAGGGAGAGAGAGAATCCCAAGCAGACTCGCTGCCGAGCACCAAGCCCAACGCAGGGTTCGATCTCATGACCCATGAGATCAGGACCCGATTGAAAATCATGAGTCAGAAGCTTAACTGACTGAGTCAGCCAGCGCCCCCGTGCATGTCCTTAGTAGATACGTAACTGGGAGTGGGATCGCTGTGTCACGGGGTAGGTATTTACCAGGAATTGCCAGTTTGCCTTCCAAAGTGGACCAAGTTACAACTCTGCGTCTGTGTCTGTCGCTTCCCGTCCCTGCCAACCCTGGCTATTTTCAGGTTTCTTAACTTTCTTCCTAATGTAGTGGACGTGGTGGTATTTCAGGTGGTCTTAATTAGGAGCAGGTTTTTCACATGCTTATTGGACACTGATTCTGTGATTGCTTATTCATGTCTTCTGCCCATTTTCTATAGAGTCAACTGTGGTTTGTTTATCGGAGCTCTTTATATATTCCGAATACTAATCTTTTCTTTTTAAGATTTTATTTATTTATTTGAGAGAGAGAGCAAGCGAGAGAGCGAGAGAGCATGAGTGGGGGGAGGGGCAGAGGGAGAAGCAGGCTGTCCGCTGAGCAGGGAGCCTGATGCGGGGCTCGACCCCAGGACCCTGGGATCATGACCCGAGCCGAGGGCAGATGCTTAACCCAGATGAGCCACCCAGGTGCCCCCCGAATACTAATCTTTTGAGGGGCAATATAGTATAATCGGTAAGCCAGACCCTCAGATTCAAATCCTGATTCTGTAACTGTAAAGTGCAGAAGAAGCACCCCAATTTTCTGTGCCTCAGCGTTCTCATCTGTAAACCTTACACTTGCTATGGACTGGGTTTGTGTCCCCCCAGAATCGCTGTGTTGAAGCCCTAACCCCCCATATGATGGTGTTAAGGGGTGGGGCCTTTAAGAAGGTGATTAGGCTTGGATGAGACCTTGAGGGCGGGACCTCCCCTCCCCCTCAAGATGGGATTAGTACCTTTATAAGAAGGGGAAGAGTCCAGAGCGCCCCCTCCCTCTCTCTCTCCCTCCCTCCCCCCTCTCCCCCTCCCCCTCCCCCTCCCCCTCCTCCTCCCCCTCTCCCTCTCCCACTGGCCCGCCTGGAAGCGAGCTCTCTCCGGAACCTAACCTCGCTGACACCGGGATCTGGAACTCTCCGGCTCCATCGGACGGAAACGTCTGCCTCCATCCATGGTACGTCCTACAGCAGCTAGAGCTGACTGAGGTCCCTCTCAAAGTTCACAGGAAAATGAGATATTTGTGAAGCACCAAGCATGGTGCCTGGTGCAAAGTGCCCCGTACATAGCAAGCATTTGCTGTTTATTATCTGTGTAACATCTGCTGTCCCCAGGAGTGGGGTTTTTCATTTTCATAATAGTGTTTTTATTTTAAGATTTATTTATTTGAGAGAGAGTGCGCAAGAGCGGAGGGGAGCAGGAGCCGGAGAGAAGTAGACTCCCTGCTGGGCCTGGAGCCCAATGTGGGGCTCGGTCCCATGACCCCGAGATCACCTCCTGAGCTGAAATCAAGTCTGCCGCTCAGCTGACTGAGCCACCCAGGGGCCCCTCATGCTAGTGTTTTAGCGAGATAGTTTTTTAAATGGCTCAGGCGCAGCCTTACTTGGTGAAGCAGGAACACTATCCTTTGCGGCTTAGGTGAGGAGGCAGGGGAGGCCCAGAGTAAATGGGCAGCTTGTTTTATAACCCCTTTTTGGTGACCACACAGCCGGGGGCTCAGACAATATCTCTTGGTCCATTTGGAGGGAAGGATGCCAGAGGACTAAAGGACATCTCTTGCCACAGAGGTGACAAGGTTCTGGTGCAGGGGACCCCCCCCCCCGGCAAGGATGGAAGTCTCCTGGGACCCAAACTGGTGAGTTTCTGGCCTCTCAGAACCGACTTCTATCATTTCTTCTGATGGCTCCCACTTCCTCTGGGGGAAACACTGCTCCCTTGGGCCCTGAGCTGCGTGGGGGTAGGGTCGGGGGTCACGGTCACTGGTGGGCCCGGCTCCCAACGCAGGGCAGGTGGGTGCAGAGTGGACCCTGCCCAGTCAGCAGGCTGAGGTCTGCCTTGTCGGGGAAGCGGGAGACAGGGTCCTGGTGGCTCAGGAGGAGTGAGCCAGACGGGCCCCAGGGGACCGGTGTGGGGGCCTGAGTAGCTACAGGGCACCCAGAAAAGGGTGCAGGGGGACGGACAGGGAGGCATGCATTAGACAGAAGGTGCAGGGCGAGACAGCCATGCAGAAAGAGCTAGAGAGAGAGGGATGGAGACAGAGAGACATAGAGCGACAAAACCCAAAACGCACCCGAGGAAGGCCAAAGGAGACAAGAGAGATGGACAGAGACAGAGACAGTGAGGCCGAGACCGGAAGAGAGACACGATGGGAAAGAGAGAAACTGGCAGACGGAGAGACAAGGAGAGATGGAGACACAGGGTAAATGTGCCGCCCTCCCCACCCCGCAGCACCCGCAAGCCCGACAGAGGGAGGGGCAGGGGCAAGATGGCAGAAACACACCCCCACACTGACCTGCTTCCAGGCGCCCTCACGGGGGCAGCCAGTCCTCCTCAGCTCTGCCCGCCTTCTATGCTGATGTTGGCCAAGCCCATTAAGCTGCTACCCTGGCCACAACTGAAGGCCCCACGCCCTGGGGAGGAAACCACCGAGAAGGCGTCCCTTGTCCCGTGGCACCCCAAACCATCAATTAGTATTAACAAGGGAAGGCTCCTCGCGGCCTAAAGGCCCCCATCGGGGCTCAGATGGAGGGGAAGCCCCACCCCCGTGAACCAGGAGGTTGAAGAGCCGGGGGCCAGCCTGTCAGCCCAGAGTGTCCCGATGGCGTGTGGTAGCAGGCGGGTCACCATCCAGCTGGTGGGAGAAGAGGCAGGGCCTGGAACCGGAGGCCCGAAGCCCTTTCGGGGCCAGAGATACGAGGCCATCCAAACAGCCTGCCTGGATGAGGGGATCCTGTTCCAAGACCCCTACTTCCCTGCTGGCCCTGATGCCCTTGGCTATGACGAGCTGGGGCCGAACTCTGAGAAGGCGAAAGGGGTGGAATGGATGAGACCCCATGTAATGTGTGGCTGGGGGCTGGGGGGGGGTGTCTGAGAGTGGAGGGGGCTGGGGGGGGCGCTGGGCTCCTCGGTCTGAGGGCAGAGGGGCTGGCAGTTCCGACTGCCGGGTCTGGGGAGGCCCAGATGCCTGCCCACAGGCTTTACAAGCCTCCCCCGGGTTGGAGGCGCTCATTACTCTAGAGCAGTGAGGGCAGGAGGGGACCCAGGCATCGGATGCCTCAGTCGCTCCTTCCCTCCCTTTCCTGGCTGAGGCCTGGAATCCCCCTTCCCCCCCAGGAGTTTTGCGCTGAGCCCCAGTTCATCTGTGAGGACATGAGCCGAACAGACGTGTGTCAGGGGCGCCTAGGTAAGACCACCGAACTCCTGGGCTCCCAGATCTGGCGGGCTGTGGCTGGGACCCTGCAGCTCGGCCCCTGGGTCCGCCCCGCAGTCTCCCCTCTCCCTACACCTCCGTCTCCCCCTTTCCATCCTCACCCCGTCCTCGCCTTTCCTCCAGGGAACTGCTGGTTTCTTGCGGCCGCTGCCTCCCTCACTCTGTATCCCCGACTCCTGTGCCGGGTGGTCCCCCCCGGACAGAGTTTCCAAGATGGCTACGCGGGTGTCTTCCACTTCCAGGTAAAACTCAGTTCCCTCGGTTTGTGCCTCAGTTTCCCTCATGGTGCCATGGATCTCATAGTGGACACGGTCGCCTTGGGGCTGTAATTCTCGGACTGGTACGCAGGGCTGGGGGGTCAGAGGATGGGGTCCAGGCACGGTTGGGGGTTGGAAGCCGAGCCTGGGCCCTGGCCTCCTCCCACCAGCTCTGGCAGTTTGGCCACTGGGTGGACGTCGTGGTGGACGACAGGCTGCCCGTGCGTGAGGGGAAGCTGATGTTCGTGCGCTCACGTCAGCGGAACGAGTTCTGGGCCCCGCTCCTGGAGAAGGCCTATGCCAAGTAAGGACCCCGGCACCCCCCCCACCAGCCAGCAAGGGAACCCCAGAGACCCCCAGCTTCTGGGATCCTCTAGACACCCTGCCAAGGGTCCCAAACCAAGTCACGGTGCCCAGGACCCTAATGTCACACCAACCCCTGAGGGCCTCCCTCCGAATCACAGATACCTCCCTCTATTGACATTTCACACAAAACATTCTTAGAGACCCACCAACACTCACAATCCCTAAGGGGCCTGAAATGTCCTCTCAGGCCCCGGAGCCACTAAATCTGAGATTTATCCCCTGGGGGAACCTGTAATCTCAGAAGATCTCTCCTGATCCATTGAGAAACCCAACGCGCCTCCCAAATTTTTAAAGATTTTTATTTATTTGAGAGAGAGCACAAGTGGTGGGGGGGAGGAGCGGGGAGCCCGATGCAGGGCTCGATCCCAGGACCCTGGGACCATGATCTGAGCCGAAGGCAGACGCGTGATGACTGAGCCACCCAGGCGCGCCGCACCTCCGAAATATTGAGTGTAATCCCGGGAGCCCTCGATCTTTGCTTTTCTCCATCCTGTGGCTCTGAAATCCCTGACAAGCCCCACAGAGATCACCCCCAGAGCAGACGTCTCCCGGAGACTCTGTTTCAAACCTAGCCCTGGGGATGCCCAGAATTCTGACCAAGCCTCTCCGATGACTGCCCCGCCCCCACCGAAGGCCACAGTCCTAGTGGCCCAGGGACCACAGGCCCGATTTCCAAGGGTTTCCAGAGTGAACCCCAGCCCACGTCAGTCTACAAATGTCAGGGATCGTCCCTGGGCCCCCCCACAGCCGGGGACCGAGGTCCCAGGTCCCAGAGGTGTGTGTGAGACGCTCGTCCATGCCTCAGACATGCCCACCGCACCCCTGCTCCCACAGGCTCCACAGCTCCTATGAGGTGATGAGAGGCGGCCACATGAATGAGGCTTTCGTGGACTTCACGGGTGGCGTGGGCGAGGTGCTCTACCTGAGGCAAGACCTCCCAGGCCTCTTCTCTGCCGTGCGCCATGCCCTGGCCAAGGAGTCCCTCGTGGGCGCCACCGCCCTGGTGAGAGAGTCCGACTGGCATGGAGACCCCCCACCAGGGCCAGAGCACAGTTGGGGCTGGAGCGGGGAGGCGGCCTGCATCCTCCTGTCTGTGTTCACTCACCCAGCAAACTCGAGCAAGTCAAAAGGCAATTTATTCGCTTTCATAACTATGCAAGCTTCAGGCACAGCTGAATCCAGGTGCTTAGTGGATGTGGAGAATGTGGTTTTCTTTTTCTTTTTTTTTTTAAGGATTTTATTTATTTATTTGACAGAGAGAGAGACAGGAGCGAGGGAACACAAGCAGGAGGAGTGGGAGAGGGAGAAACAGGCTTCCCGCAGAGCAGGGAGCCCGATGCGGGGCTTGATCCCAGGGTCCTGGGATCATGACCTGAGCTGAAAGCAGACGCCCAACGACTGAGCCACCCAGGCGCCCCTAGAATGTGGTTTCCTATTCCTAGTTCCGGGTTAGCTTCACTCCTGGGCAGGCATTCCCTTCATGGGCACAGGGTGGGGGGTGAGGGGCAGAGAGGAGCAGCCACCCGCTCGACCCCCACTGTGGCCTCACCGTCCCGTCCTCTGCCCAGAGTGATCGGGGCGAGCACCGCACAGAAGACGGGCTGGTGAAGGGACATGCGTACTCAGTCACGGGCACGTACAAGGTGGGTATCCCCCATGAGTGGGCTGCAGGGGTGTCGCGGCGCCCCTCCCCCCCCCCCCCCCCCCCCCCCACTGACCATGCCGCCCGCAGGTGACCCTGGGCTTCACCAAGGTGCGGCTGCTGAGGCTTCGGAACCCATGGGGCCGTGTGGAGTGGACCGGGGCCTGGAGCGACAGGTGGGATGGATCTGGGGGAGGTGGGGGCCTTGGACCCACCTGCCCAGCCCTCACACCCCGGTCTCCCTAGCTGCCCGCGCTGGGATGCGCTCCCTAAAGAGTGGCGGGATGCCCTGCTGGTGAAAAAGGAGGATGGCGAGTTCTGGTGAGTAGCCCAGGGTCCCAGCCCTGCCTCTGAGCTGGTGCCAGGCCAAAGGGGTGCAGGGAGGGGGTAAGGCCTGCCTGAAGGGACAGGGGACAAGTTCATAGCAAGAAACTATCCCTGGGGTGGTAACTTTGGGGTTGCATTCTATTTGGGGGAGTCAAGGAACAATTAGCAATATTAGGGGAACTGGGAGGCACAGTAATCTTCAGCGGGTTGAAGGGGGGTGGGTAATGGGTAATATTTAGGACAATTGTGGGAGGCCTGGTGACATCTGGGGCATTTCCTGCAGATTTGGTAATACTGAGGGCCTGAAGGATACTTGCTGACAACTGAAAGTCTGAAGGCCTTGATATTTGGGGGCTGAAGGCAATGTGACAGTTTGTGTGGGGGGGTGTGCATGGATCCCGGCTACTTGGGCATTTCTGGGCACTTGGAGAAATCTGGGGGGCTGGAGGGCTCCGCAATCTGGGGGTCATTTCCGGAGACGCGGCACTGTTTGGTGGACTGAGGGGCGCTTGGCGATGTTTATGGAATTTGGTGGGGCTTGTGATTTGGAGGCCATCCGGGGGTCCTGAGGTCTTTGGGAGACTGGGGCCCTGGGGGGGCTCTGACCACTGGCCCCTGCACAGGATGGAGCTGAAGGACTTCCTCCGCCACTTCAACACCGTCCAGATCTGCTCGCTGAGCCCTGAGGTGCTGGGCCCCAGCCCGGCTGGAGGCGGCTGGCACGTCCACACCTTCCAAGGCCGCTGGGTGCCCGGCTTCAGCTCCGGCGGGAGCCAGCCTGGCACTGGTGAGGCCTGGAGGGCGCCCCGAGGGGCAAGCGCTGGTGGGGGGGGGGCGGGGGGGCTGTGGCAGGCGGGGTAACCCCACTTCTTCTCTGCTAGAAACCTTCTGGACCAACCCCCAGTTCCGGCTGACGCTGCTGGAGCCTGAGGAGGAGGAGGAGGAGGACGAGGAGGAGGAGGAGGGGCCCTGGGGGGGCTGGGGGGCAGCAGGAGCGTGGGGCCCTGCGAGGGGGGGGGCGCATCCCCAAGTGCACTGTCCTTCTGTCACTCATCCAGCGCAACCGGCGGCGCCTGAGGGCCCAGGGCCTCACTTACCTCACCGTGGGCTTCCACGTGTTCCAGGTGGGACCCCGGGGGCCTAGCTGGAGCAGCGGGGAACAGGGAGCCACGGAGGGGCTGGGAAGGCCCAGGGGGTGGGGGTTAGAGACAGAGGAGGTCCTTGAGGGCACAGACCAGCAGGGGTCAGAGACAGGCCGGGGCTTAACGAGGGTGTTGGGGGGGTGGATGGGAAGAAAAGCGAAGGAGGTGCGGACGGGGCTCTGAAGGGCGGCCGCCGCCAGCGCGGGCCCCGACTCGCCTTGCTTTTCCTTCTTACAGATCCCAGAGGAGGTGGGTCTCAGCTGGGACCCCGGATCGCAGGGTCACTCGGGCGGGCCCGCCGCAGGGGCTCGGACAGGCTGCGGCGGGAGGGAGGCGGGAGGGAGGCGGGAGGGAGGGAGGCGGCGGGGGGCGAGGCGGGCGGGAGGCCGGGCGGCGAGCCGCGGAGCTCAGCCGCCCTGGCCCGCAGCTGCTGGGCCTGTGGGACTCCCCGCGCGGCCGCGAGCTCCTGCCGGGCCTGCTGCGCGCCGACCGCTCGCCCTTCTGCGCCCGCCGCGACGTGAGCCGCCGCTGCCGCCTGCGCCCCGGCCACTACCTGGTGGTGCCCAGCGCCGCCCGCGCCGGCGACGAGGCCGACTTCACGCTGCGCGTCTTCTCGGAGCGCCGCCACACAGTCGTGTGAGCCGGGGGCCCCCGCGCCCAGCCCTCGGGGTCCCCCGGCCGGCCAGAGCCCCGGGCCCCAGCCCGACTCGCCCGCTTCCCTTGTGTCCCTGGCAGGGAGGTCGATGACGTCATCAGCGCCGAGCTGCGCGCGCTCACGGTGCGAGGCCTGCGGAGGGGGGCGGGCGCAGCGGGGCTGGGGTCCTCTGGGCCGGCGCTGAGCTCCCCCCGCCCCACAGGTCCCCTACATCCCCCTGGAGCGGGGGCTGGAGCAGCTGTTTCAGGAGCTGGCAGGAGAGGTGAGGGGGCCCACCCCTCCCCTCCCCTGCCCTCCCCTCCCCTGGGACCCCTTCCTCATCCTGGGGGTCTCATTCTGCTTTAATTTCTCCCTGTGCTTCAAACTCCTGACTCTCTACTCTCAAAATGCTCACAGCTCATCCCTGCCTCAGGGCCTTTGCCCTGTCTGTACTTCTGCCTGGACGGCCTTCCCTCCCTTCTCCCCGCCTGTCCGGGCTAAGATCTTGTCTTTCTCTTCTGCCTTTCGCTGGAAGCCCTCCGGGATTCTCCCCCAGGCTGGTCAGCTGCATGCCGGCTGTGGCCTCCCACAGCCCAGAGCTTACCCCCACCCCCACTCCCAAGCCCTGTCGGCTCTGGGGACAGGTCTCTCTCTCCCCCTGGACCATGAGCTCTCGGTCTCTGCTGTGACCCCGGCACCGCCCAGCATGCTACTGGGGCCAGCCCCGAGCTGTGTTGAATGGCTGCCTGAGTGAACGGCCTCACACTGGCTCTCTCCTTGACCAGGAGGAAGCACTCAGTGCCTCTCAGCTCCAGACGTTATTAAGCATTGCCCTGGAGCCTGGTGAGTTGGGGACTGGGGTGGACCCCACGGAGCCCCCTAGGTGTGTTAGTCCATGATGCTGCCAGGAGTCAGGCCACGGGAGCCCTGGACTCAGCCTGACCGTGTCTTCCCACCTGTGGGTCCTGTGGCAGGACTCGTGGCCAAGGCCACGGCCACCCATAAGGCCCCCCCTTCCCCTAAGGGAGGCAGAGAGTGTAGCTGCCCTGAGGGGACTTTGGAACCCCCCTGCCTGGGTTCAGATCCCTGCTCTGCTAGTTACCAGCAGTCCCGTGGCTCCCTGTGCCTCAGTTCCTGCAGTGGGGATAGCCGGACTCCCTAGTACGCAGGAAGTACTAGGGGTTTTTTTGTTTCCTGTAGCCAGGGCCCATGCCCGGACCCCTGGAGAGATCGGGCTCAGGACCTGTGAGCAGCTGCTGCGCTGTTTTGGGGTACGTGAGGGGAGCAGTGCCTGGGTAGGGAGGGTGGGGATGTTGGGGCCTCTGGCCCCCTTCTGGGGATATGGATTTTAACCAGATGCCCCATCCCCAGAACGGACAGAGCTTCACCCTGCACCACTTCCAGCAGCTCTGGGGCCATCTCCTGGAGTGGCAGGTAAGGTTGGGGGTTTGGTGGGGCCACCTCCTCCCGGAGAGTGAGGCACTTTTACTGATCAGGACAGAGGTGCTCTGTGGGCTAGCAGGGCCCCAGGGGAGGAGAGCGTGAGCCACATCATACCTTGGAGGGACAACTGGAGGGATCTGGCTGGGATGTCCTTGCCCCATCTGGCTCCCTGTGGTCCCTCTAGGGGCATTAAATAGCTCAGGGATGGAAAGCACAGGTTCTGGTCCTGGCTTGAAGTCCCAGCTCCCGGTTCAGCCCCTTTCTAGCTGTGTGACCTCGGGCAAGTCACCTCCCCTCTGAGGGGCCTCTGCTAGTGGGAGGCATTAATTCCCACTGCTCTGGATCCCTGGGAGGAGGCAATGGTCCAAGGCCTCCCTGTACTTGCTATTGGCTGAGCCCTCCCGAAGGCCCTTGTGGGTAGCATATTGGCTTGTCCTCATAACCCTATTCTAGCTGTTACTGTTACTCCCATTTTACAGAGCGAGCGAGGTAAAGCTATTGCCCAGGGCACCAAGTCATGAAGAAAGGGAGCAGGGGTGGAAACCCAGGCTGACTGGCCCTCTTCAGGGTGCATGGGGGACCCCGGGGGGGGGGGGGTAGGACTGACCTCTACCTCCTGGCCCAGGCCACATTTGACAAGTTTGACAAGGATGCCTCTGGAACCATGAACTCCTACGAGCTGAGGCTGGCGCTGAATGCGGCAGGTATGTTGGGGAGTGGTCCCAGGGACGGGATCTGCTCCCCCTGCTACCCTCTGAACTCTCGCAGGCCTGGCTGGCTGCTCACCTGCCGCCCTCCACAAAGCCCACACCGTAGTTTGTTACTGGATACCCTTGGGAGAGGGAGCGGGGCCTCCTGGAGGGGGAAGATGGGGAGAGCCTGGGAGCTGGTATCTGAGAGGTCCCGGCCCCCCAGGCACTGTGGTAAAGTGGCCTGGGTTCCCATGAGCTTGGGTTAGAATCCTGCCTCTACTGACTTACTCCCTGGGAGATCCTGGGCAGGTGAGTCCACCTCCGTGAGCCTCAGTGTAAAATGGCTACCACCCAGGGTGGCTGGGAGGAGCCTTCGGAATGCAGCCCATGGGGCTCAGCGCTGGGGGGCACGCAGCTTCTGGTGACTGCATGCGGAGGGCCCGGGCAAAGGTTTCGGAAACCTGGGTTCTTCCAGAAAGAGGTAGAACAGCCCCACCCATCTGTGTAGCACAAAATCCTACCCAGGAGACAGAGCCAGGGAGCAAAGCTTTTCCTGGGCCCTGACCGAAGCAAGTGAAGTAAGTTCATGCACCAAGGGGCTGGGACCGGAGGGGGCTCCCAGATCCCCCACCCCCACCCCAGGGCTCCTCTGCCCCAGCCAAGCCGAGGGGGGGGGGAGCAGGTGGGAGGGTGTGCCAGGCCGTGACCCAGTTTGAGAGGCAGGGAGGCCCTGAGGGAGGAGCTCTAACATCCAGAGACATGCAAGCAAAGAGGCCAAGCCAGAGGGGGAGAGATGGAGTCAGAGGGTTGGGAGGTGTGGCACGGGGACAGAAGTGGAGTCCCAGGTGGACAGAAGCAGAGGAGAGAGCGCGAGGGCGGATGGAATGTTGGCACCACTTGTCAGGGTTCCTGGGCACCTGGTGCACGTTCTTGGTGTTATTCTAGTCACAAGACTGAGGAAGTGCTCTTGGGCAGGGCTTGTCACACTGGTGGTGCAGACAGACAAGTAGAACATCTGGGTCAGATGTCAGCTGGTGACACGCTATGGCGGGAAGAGGAAGCTGGTGTGTACATGGTGGGGGGGAATGTGTGGCTGGAGGCACAGCGGTCAGGGTAGGATCCAGGTGCCGTTTGAGCAGACCTGAAGGAAGGGGACTGAGCCTTGGGGACACAGTGGCAGGTGCAGTCTAGACAGAAGAAACAGCCAGTGCAAAGGCCCTGAGGTGAGATGCAGCATGGACCCTGCTGGAACAGCTTCAAGGGGCCAGTGCGGCTAGAGGATGGGGGTGGGGGTGGGGGTCAGAGATGAAAGATCCGTGGAGGGAGGCAGTAAAGCCCCATGAGGTCCAGCGTCAGGGTGCGTGGGGAGGCTGGAGCCGACAGCACGGGAGGTCACGCTGTGTACTGAGGGAGTACCGGGGAGCGGAGAGGCAGGAAGCAGGCTCCAGAGGGCCCTGGCAAGGGTGGGCAGATCAGGGTGGGGGAATCGGCAAGAAAAATGACCTACTGCCACTCAGCCGCGCTCTGAGGCACCCACGTTCCCCAAACACCAGCTCTGCTCCTGGCTGTGCCGGCTGATGCTGGGGACTCGGCAGTGGCCAGAAATCCTTCCCTTCCCTCCCCTCCCCTCCCACGGCTTCCGGGCCAGGGTCCGCCAGAGCCACCAAAGACAGTGACAGCTCCGAGGGATCAGGGTGGGGACGGGATAGGCACAGGGAGACACAGGAGGCGCTCCGGGCTGCAGGGGGTAAGAGCAGGGGGCTCGGAGAGGGCTTCCTGAAGGGGGCAGGGCGAAAGGAGTAGGAGAGTTCTGGGCTGAAGGAACATCACGTGCAAGGGAGGCAAGACAGAGCACAAGGTCCAAGTGCCGGGGGGGGAAGGAGGGGTAGATGAGGTGTGGTCTGCGCAGGCCACCAGGCAGCTGAGGACAGTGGGGGGCCCTGGGCAGGGGTAGCCAGGAACCAGGACCTAGTAAACCAGGTGAGGGATTTCCCGAATACCCAGGGGATCCTGGGCAGGACCCCCGCAGCAGGCGGCGCAGAGTGGTCAGAGGAAGCTGAATTTGAGGGGGCAGCTGAGGGCTTCCTGCCCCTCCTCTGGCCAGGGTCCCCTGGCACAGACTCGACAAAGATCAGAACCGGGGCACAGACGGGTTTCAGGAGGCGGCAGAAGCCCATGACATTGTCCGCAGAAGTTTATCTGGACACGTGGGGGAGGAGGAGCCAGGCTGCAACCTTAAGTCTCGGAGGATTACTGGACTCGAAGGAGGAGCCGTTGTTTTTGGCTTTTGAAAGCCTATTGCGATTTCTCGTCAGAGGTGATTTCTAATGTTTAGAAATCGTCTCTGATGTGAAGAAACGGACTCCATGTGGGACTGACAAAAACATCTGGCTGCACAGAAATTCCTCCAGTGTCCATTCGCAGAAACTGGCCAGAATTTAAAGTCCTAATAAAGCAGCCATATAGTCATTATGTGCCAGATGCCGTTCTAAGTTCTCTAACAGCTTCCCCCAACATTGTGGGGTCAGGGCTGTCACGTGAGAAAAGGAGCACAGAGGAGTGAAGGGAGCTGCCCCGGGCCCCACAGCTGGGGTCCGAGCGGTGGGAACAGCCCCCGCCCCCGGGGAGCCGGGCTGGGGCTCACGGGCACCCTGCCCTAGGCTTCCACCTGAACAACCAGCTGACCCAGGCCCTCACGAGCCGCTACCGGGACAGCCGTCTGCGGGTGGACTTCGAGCGCTTCGTGTCCTGTGCAGCCCAGCTCACCTGCATATTCCGTGAGTGGTGCCCTGGCACGGGGACCCTGGGGTGGGGGTGGGGGTGTCTCCCTCCTGCGAGCCGCACGGGGTGCTCAACCCGCCCGCTCTGCGCAGGCCACTGCAGCCAGCACCTGGAAGGAGGCGAGGGGGTCGTCTGCCTGACCCGCAGACAGGTGAGCCCGGGCTGGGGGTTGGGGGGCAGCTCAGGTGGCCAAGCAGGGGTCCCAGGAGACCCCTGCCTCAAGCCGGCCGTCTTCTCTCCCCCAGTGGATGGAGATGGCCACCTTCCTCTAGGATCTCTGCATGGAGCACCTGTGGCCGGAGGCAGAAGCATGCCAGGAGGCCTTTCTCCTCTCCCAGCCGGGACTGGGGTTTATTCCACGGCGGGGGGTCTGAGCACCAGCGCCCCCTCCGCCTCTCTGCCTGGCACGTGGGGCGCTGTCTGGTCCCAGCACTCAGCAGCGGGGTGAGGCCAGGCAGGTCCCTGCACACCTCCGTGCTTTGCCCTCCTCATGTGTAAGCAGGGACGGGCACGACACTGTTCTTGTGCAGGCCCCACGTGTCAGCACTGGGGACAGTGCTGGGCCTCGAGCCGGTCCCCAGCGGCACTCGTGTTTACACACTCACGGGGACAGGGGTCTCCCACGCCCAGCCTTGCTCTGGGAAGAGGTGCTCCCGTGGCTCTCCTAAGAGGCGGAGAATAGACAGGAGAGAGAGAGAACACGGTAGGAATCCTTCTTAAAAATATTACATGTTTTATTATCCTGTCCCCAGAAGGTGGTTTATCCAGAAACCGAGAAAAAAAAATAGAATAAACTCAAAAAGGGGGAGGAGGGGAAGGGAGCAAAACCCATCAACTAACAGGCAGCCAGGCCAGCAGCCCACCCTCCACCTCAGGAGGGTCCCCAGAGACCCATGCCCAACGACAGACAACAGAGAAAAATCAGTAAGGGGCTGGGGGGAGGGCAGCAAATCAGCTAGGTCTTCATTATGAGAGCAAGAGGCAGGGAGCATATGTTGCTAGGTGAATATATATTTATATAATAAATCCGTAAGTTAATAAAGTAAATAGTAATTCTCTGAAGGTTTTTAATTCCTTTTTTTATAGGTTTTTTTTTTTTGTGGATTTTTTTTGTTTTTGTTTTGTGGTTTTTTTTTTGTTTTTGTTTTTTTTGGTCCTTAGAAAATCTGAGAGATACACATGTCTGGGTAAAGCAAGATGGGGGGCTGGCTGGGGATGAGAGGCTGGTCTGCCCAATCCTACTCCTCTGTTGCAGAAAAGGGGGGTGCTGAGTTGCACCCCCTCATCTGGCAGTCGCAAGTGGGGGGAGAGGGAAGAAGGGAGGGGGTGGGGTCCTCTTTCCTGTCGGGCAGCTGTGTCGCCCTCTGCTGGGCCCAGGGCAGGCCCAGGCGGTTCCTGGACAAGGCACATAGGGCTTTGGCCTGGATGTGGGAGGCCTTGAAGGGACCTCGTGGGGGGCGGAGGAAGGGGGCGGGCAAAGGAGGGATGAGGTGGGGAGGGCATTCCTAGGACCTGGAGGTGACCTGTTTCGCTGTGGGAAGCCACTGTCCCCTCCGTATAGTTAAAAAACAAAACAACACATCATACATATTTACCAGACCAGAAGCGCTGACCCCGAGTGTCTCCCTCACCCCTATCCAGGGGGAGGGGGCCGACTGACGAAGAGAGAGGAGAGAGCCTGCCCCAGCCCCTCCCTGCCCACCCCACCCCCCAGAACAGACTGACAGAGGGCTTTGCATAGATACAGTCAGAGGAACAGGACCTGGGAGGCCCCCGCAGCGGGGAGAAGGGCAGAGGGCTCCCCCAGCCCCGCCTGGAGGCTGTGAGGAGGGGGCGTGCGGTCAAGCTTTCTCCGGAGGCGGGGAGGGGCCTCACAGGTCACTCTCGCCGTACAGGGCTGTCGAGAAGGACTTGTAGTCGAGGGCGCCGGGCACGGCGTCAGGGCCCTGGTAGGGCGCCATGCGAGCGATGCAGTACTCGGCCTGGTCCGGGGGCAGCTCTCTCCGCAGCTCCTCGGCCGTGATGAAGTTCTGGGGGCGGCAGGGTGGGACTCTGGGCCACCCCCACCCCCACCCGCCCAGTCCTGGCTGCAAGGGCTCCTCCATGTCGCCCCACCCCGGGATGCCTCTGAGGTACCCTGCTTACCTTGTCCCCTGCCAGGACCTTGAAGGAGGCGATGACCTGGTCGGCCGTGTCTGTGTCGGTGGTCTCCCTTGACATGAAGTCAATGAAGGCTTGGAAGGTCACGAGACCGCTGTGGTTGGGGTCAACCACGCTCATGATGCGGTTGAACTCGGCATCACCCTGTGGGGGGGAGGAGTGGGGGGGGGGGGACAGGCAGCATTTGAGCAGGGCAGGGTGGCCAGCCGGGCCTGGCCCGCGGAACGGAGCCAGGAGAGCGGGGCCCGGCCCCGGGGGAGCACACGCCTGCAGGGGTTTTGGCTTCCCCAGGCCAAGGGCCCCACTTGCCCTGATTGGGGATGTGCTCCCTCTGCTCCTCCCCGCCCCCGTTTCTGGGAAGTGGGGAGCTGGGGAATGGATCAGGCAGGTCTACCGTTCCTCAGCCCTAGGCTCACGACTTAGCTCTGGAGGGTGGGGAAGAAAGAAAGAGAGAAAGAGAAAGAGAAAGGGTAGGGAGCCAGAGGCCTGACCTCCTCTCTCGGGAGACTTCCAGGAAAGGAGGTGGGTGGCAGGGGGGTCATCGGAGAGACCCCTGCCCAGCAGAAGCAGCGCAGATGGAGGAGGAGGGGGCATGACTGCGCTGCTCTGCTGGGGGAGTAGCCCCGAGGAGGCGGGTGAGGAGGAGAGGGGAGGCTGCGCGGGGGCGGCGGGGGGGAAGGAGAGGCCCAGCAGCGAGGGGGAGGCAGAGGCTGCATACCAGGCTGTATCCTGTGGAGATAAGCAGAGCCCTGAAGTCATCCGAGTCCATGCTGCCTGTCTGCTTCTGCTCGAGGATGCAGGGACAGCAGAGGAGACCAGGCCCAGAGAAGGCAAGAGGGGCCGCCCCATGTGCACAGCAGGGAGACAGGACAGTGGCGGGAGCCGGGGAGACAGAGGCGGCCCCGGGAGACCAGGTAAGGGGGAAGGTGTCCAGAGAGACACGGGGCAGGGAGGAGGCAAGAGAGCCAGTGAAATGGCACACACGTGGCAAGGGGTGGGATGGCGAGAGGGAGGGGGACAGAGAGAAGGAGAGAGAGAAAGAAGAGCAGTTAATGCCACAGTCCGCTGGGGCCCAGGGGGGCGCATACCTGCCGGTCATTCTCCACGTCGTAGCCCAGGCTGATGAGGCAGGCCTTGAACTCCTCCGGCCCCAGCGCCCCGCCGTGGTCCTGCCGGGCGTCCGGAGGCAGGTGTGTGCGAGGGGCGGCGCGGAGACCAGGCCGGCGCGGAGACGTGGGGAGAGGGGCCGGGGTCACATGCAGAGGGCAGGGGGTGGGGAACACATCGGGGGGGAAACAGAGTTAGAGGTGACACAGACAAGGTGATGGCTAGGGACGATGAACAGGGCAAGGGGCATGGCGGCCTGGAGGGTGGTCAGAGGCCTGCCCAACGCCTCGGCCAGAGCAGGGCAGGCATCTCTCCTCGCCTCCAGGATTTGGGGTGAGAGAAGGTTACACTCCGTCCTATCTGGGACGGCAGGGTCCCTGCCTGACGGTGTGGAGCTGAGCGTGCACCCTCCCACCCACAGAGGGCAGGCAGATGGCGCACCGGGCCCAGCAGGGCGGGTGGGGACCGCAGCAAACTCAGGCGCTCAGGGCCTTCCTAAGGGGCCTGCCAGACCAGATCCGGCGTTCTGAATCTTTACAACGCTCCGTGTACGCATGGACCAGATGCACGGTCAGGTCGCAAATCTCGGGTGTGCTGGGACTTAGGCTGTCCCAGGGTCTCATCAGCAGGCTGGCGAGGACACATGGCCCCAGAGGCAGGACTTGGACCCCCCCCCCCGCCACTTTCTCCTCCTGAGGGAAAGTGCCCAGGCTGTGGGTCAAGGGATGCACCTCTGCACCTGCTTCAGTGGCTGGGGCCTTGCCAGCCCAGGGAGTGGTGGCCAATACTCAGCACTGTGAGGTGAACGGACAGATGCAAGGACAGAGGGGGCAGGATGGGATGGTGACAGTGGGGAAGGAAGACGCCAGGGGCAGAGGGAGCTGCTCACCTTGTCAAAGTGGTTGAAGGACGCCCGGAACTCCTGCATCTGCTCCTGGCTGATGCCCTTGGCATCGCGGGTGAGGATCTGGTTCTCGACCTCATTGATGGTGCGGGCGATGGTGGTGAGCAGCTGTTCCCAGCCCACGCGGATATGCTGGGGGCGGAGCAAGGGCATGAGCACGGGCCGGGGCGGTGCGGGGACCCCCGCTGCCGCCGCCACCCGGGGCTTGGAGTCCGGCTCTCCTCGCCCCGGCTGGGCATATGGCCTGGAGGTGGGCTAGCCCTGACTCTCTCCCAAACGCCGACCCAGCCCCACACGGGGACAGAGGCACGGCCCCTCCCCGCCGCCTCTGCCCAGCAGCGGGGTGACGTCACGTCTGTGTCTGCTCAGGGAAGCAGCTGAGGGCCGGCCCGGTCCATGTGCCGCACCCACACGGGAACCGCAGAAATATGGGGGCCACGTTGAAGCAGCTCTCGGGGTGGGGGGGCACGACCCGGGGTTCTCTGTGGTATCACCGCACTTGCAGGGCATCAAGCGTCACCATGGACAAGGTCAGGCTGCCCAAATGGTGACAACCAGCCCCGACACGTCAACCCGGCCACAGCAAGCGGGTGCCCGCGCTGATCTGTGTCCTCCGGCCAGGACGTCGCCACCGAGGCCACAGTGGGCAGGGGCCGCCCTCCCTCCCAGCTCTCCCACGAGTGTGTCCCAAGCCTGTGCTGTCTCGGTGATGGAAGAAATGGTGGGAAAACTGTGATGTTTTAAAAATGCGTACACACTTGATCTAGTCTTTTCGGTCAGAGGGACACAGAGGAGAGAGAAAGTGGCCGACGCCTTTTCTACCAAGCAAAACCTGTCTGGCCTGGAGAGGCCGGGCCTGTGCTGCCGCAGGGACCCTCCGGTGCGGGCAGGAGGGGAGGCCAGGGGCGCCAGGTGGCCCTACCTCCATGGTGTAGTTGGTGTGCTTGTTGTCGAAGATGAGGGCCTCCTGGATGAGCTGGTGCTGCTGCTCAAGCAGGTCGAGGTTCGGCTTATAGTCCACGATGCTGCGCTCGTACCGCTTCAGGTGGTTCAGCTGGTCCTCCAGGGTCCCGTTCATCTCGATGGAGATGCGCCCGATCTCCTGCATGGAAGGCAGGGGCTGCTGGCTGGGGAAGGCCTCTTGCTGGCGTCCCCCGCCCCCGCCCGGAAGCCTGCTGTTCGCGGACTGCCCCCTCCAGGCCCCCCTCCACTGTACAAGCTGCCGGGGGGGAGGGGGGTAGTGTCTAGGCTGAGGCCCCTGAGGCCTAACCTCAGTGCACACCCCGGACTCCCTGTGAGGCCCAGGACGGCCACAGGCCTGGAAACTGAGGCCCAAACACATCAATTCCTCACAGTGAGAGGCAGGGTCAGGGTCCAGACCCAGGCCCGGCTGGCTTCAGAATCTGTGCTCCTGAGCACGAGCACCCGAAGCGTGGGTTCCCAGGGTGACCGTGCAGCTCAGCCAGCCCAGAGCCCCAGCCCGGCCCCGGCTCGGTGCCTGGCACGTAGTGAGCACTCTGGGAGGTGCACCCAGGGCTGCAATCAGCATCCTTGCAAACTTTCCAGGGCTGGGTCCCCAGGCTCACTGGTGAGCCCGCTGGAAGGGTCTGCACTTGGGCCACCCTGGTCCCAGCAACACCAGGGCTTGCCATGGGGCTGCCATAGAGCGGTGCCCAAAGCATTTGCCGGGACAATGAAAAGACTGTTTCCATCCTCTTTTAGGGATGAGAAAACCCAGGAGCAGAAGTTAAACTGTACCTGATCTCCTGGTCAGCAGGCAGGGCAGAGCCGACACGCGAACCCTCTCCTACCTGACTCCTCCACCCTGCTGCCCTCTGGAGGGCGCTGCCGCTTCCAGCAACACAGTCACAGACCCTCCCACTCCCAGGGGGCGGCCGTCACTCCCAGGGGGCGGCCGTCGCTCCCAGAGTGGGGCCCCAGGCAGACCCAGCAGGGAGGACCGGGGACCCGGCGCAAGGGGCGGCCGGCCTCCCGCT